AGGAACACACTTGTTTATTTCATGGCATGCACTTAAAAAGATCCAAGAGGGAAGCTGTGTTTCTAAAATTGCTTGCTTAAGCTGAACTACTGAAATAGTATTTCATCTGTTGTTAGGAAGAACAATTTAAGCCAATAAATTGCGATGTTGGAGGTTAAAGCAATGTATTGTTCATGCTCTACAATATTCAGGAAACCAACGTTAACCAAACTTCACAAGTGTTACCTCCACAAAAAATATAAAATATAAACTAAGTTAAAGTTCTTACCCAGCACACTGCCTAATCTAGATTAGTTGCACATAGATATATCCCTAAACAGAGAACTTACCTGAGCTTGAAATGAGCTCTCTAGCCATGCTGTAGCTCTGAAAAGCAGCCACCAGACAAACTAATCACAATTGTATTTGTTTCAGCTAAATGAAATACTTAGAAATACCGCAGTCAACATGAGCCAAATCTATTGCCACGTTTGCAGTTCTTTTAAATTACACATGGCAGTAACAAACACCCAAGGATCGGGAAATTACCTCTTCCCAGTGTTGCTAGACATCAGTGGTTGTGGGATGATCACACAGTTATTGCTTATGATTTTTGCAGCATGCAACTCCGGCCGAGTGCAGCACATTCAGGGTTTTAAGAGAATTCAAGTAGAGGTCATACAAATCTGCAAAAACTGATTATGTCAACAACAGCAGCAAACTATTTGGATTTTCATGGCTAATACATTGCCTAATCTTCCTACGCAGCTAATTTATTTTGCATGTAAAACTTTAGCAGATAGGTCTTCCTCCAACAGTTGCTTTGCCTCTTAATTTTCTCTGACTCACATAAGCTGTTCTTAACAAGTTTGTTCAGTGGAGTATCGGCACAGCGTTGAGCTGAATGCACAGGCACATTGCAGGAAAAAACCAAACAAACCACAAAACCCCACAAGGTGCCAAGCAGACTTGAACTTCTGTTCTTTCTTTCTGTATGTCATGTGCCTCAGGTCTGTGTACTCACACCGGTGTTTCTCCAAAGCCTGCGTAATCACTGTTTGAGAAGGGGAGGGAGCTCATGCACACGAGCACGTGGAATACTTGCAGCAGCCAGAGGATTTCACCTGGTGAGCTAACCTGGAGCACAGCACGGAGGGGATCTGACCTACTCAAACTGCCACTTAGCTGCAAGTTTACCTCCTCCCCTGTGAGGACAGGCTGAGAGAGTTGGGGTTGTTCAGCCTGGAGAAGAGAAAGCTCCGGGGAGACCTTCTAGCAGCCTCCCAGTGCTTAAAGGGGGCCTGCAGGAAAGGTGGGGAGGGACCTTTTATGAATATCTGTAGTAACAGGACAAGGGGCAGCAGTTTTAAACTGAAAGATTGGACAGAAGGAGGGCATTTGCTACAATGAGGGTGGTGAGACACTGGAATAGGTTGCCCAGAGGAGTTGTGGATGGCCTATCCCTGGAAGTGTTCAAGGCCAGGTTGGATGGGGCTTTGAGGAGCCTGATCAAGTGAAAAACGCCCCTGCCCTTGACAGGGGGGTTGGACTAAATGATGTCTAAATGTCCCTTCCAACCCAAACCATTCCATGATTCTGCAATGCCAGAACCCACTTCCAAGAAGTTAAAACATTTTTATAAAGGAAAAAACTCAGCTACAGCAAAACAAAATGATCTTTTACTGAACAATAGTGCTCCAGCCTAGCATGTAAAAATAAAAAGTGTTTTGCCTGGGTTTGACCAAGTCAAATCTGTTTCTTCAAAGCGTGCTGTTTGCTTCCTACACTTTCCTGTTTGAAAACACTCTGAAGTATAACACACTGCTGAGCCTGGAGAAGGTAAACGAGATTATATCCCCTTCTGTAGGTTATAGTGCACCAGTATATCAGCACAAATACAGTGAAGTCAACATAGTGACATCACTTGACACCAATTGTTTCCTCAGAGTGTATCAACCAGATCGGCTGAGTCTGTTCCCACCTTACCTGACTGGGCTCATCCATGGCTGACAGAAGTAGAAAATTAGCAAACGACAAGCAGTGAACATGACTCTGCAAGAGGAGGTATCAGACTGCTGCCCAAAGAGAGGCTGGGGGGGGGGGTGTCACTGCTGATGTGCTGATGGCATCCCAGTGCAGTCAGCAGCAGCCCCATACCCGCAAAGGGACCAGTGGCATCCCCGGGAATGGCCACCCACACCCACCGAGGGTGAGCGGGAGCCCAGCCTCACAGCCGTGAGGGACTAGGCACACGTTGGTGCAAGACATACTGGATGAGGGGAACAAGTAACACCACCGTGCCCCATGACCCACAAGAGAAAAGCAAAAACAGGGAGTGGTGCTTCCCACCACAACATGGGCAAGGGCCTAACTAAGCCAAAGCAGGTGGCTCAGCAGCTCTGCCTGGCCCATGGGCACCGAGGGGACTCAGGCTCCTTTCACAGCCCCCATGAGACTCGAAGCCTTATTGGGGTTGTTGGAGGCTAATGGCAACCTCCGCCTTGCACGATCAGGACCTGCGAGGGGCAGGAAGCATAATGGGGCCTTCCCAACCAGCACAGCACAGATCCAACACCCACTTGCCCTGCCATCCCTCCATCGGGTCACAGCCTGGCCCAGCCACCACCTCAGGCACAGGCAGGCCAAGAATAACATCTTTTTTATTTGTCTCTAAATTTGAGAGACAGGGATTTGACAGATGGACCACTTGGTGGATAAGCAATTGGCTGGATGGCCGCACTCAAAGAGTTGCGGTCAACGCATCATGTCCAAGTGGAGACCAGCGATGGGTGACGTTCCTCAGGGGTCAGCAATGTGCGCTCGCAGCCTAGAAGGCCAACCGCCTCCTGGGCTGCATCACGAGAAGCGTGGCCAGCAGGTCAAGGGAGGTGATTCTCCCGCTCTACTCCGCTCTGGTGAGACCCCACCTGGAGTGCTGTGTTCAGCTCTAGGGGCCCCAGCATAAGAAAAACACAAACGTGTTGGAGTGAGTCCAGAGGAGGCCACAAAGATTATGAGGGGGCTGGAGCACCTCCCCTGGGAGGACAGGCTGAGAGAGTTGGGGTTGTTCAGCCTGGAGAAGAGAAGGCTCCAGGGAGACCTTACAGCGGCCTTCCAGTGCTTAAAGGGGGCCTGCAGGAAAGGTGGGGAGGGACTTTTTACAAAGACATGTAGTGATAGGACAAAGGGTCATGGTTTTAAACTAAAACCAGGTAGATTCAGACTAGATACGAGGAAGAAATTTTTTACAATGAGGGTGGTAAAACACTTGAGACAGGCTGTCCAGAGAGATGGTAGAAGCCCCATCCCTGGAAACATTCAAGGCCAGGTTGGACGGGGCTCTGAGCAACCTGATCTGGCTAAAGATGTACTTGCTCACTGAAGGGGTTTGGATAGATGACCCTTAAAGGTCCCTTCCAGCCCAAACTATTCTATGATTCTATGATTAAATGTACAGAGGTTTTTCTCTTGAGCTGTTCTTCCCCACTACACTTGTACTGTGCATAAACTTGAAAGCAGAAAATAAAGCTACTACTCTGCATCAAGTTGCTCAAGAGGACATAGATCTAGGGAAAAAAAAAAAAAAAAGAGTTTTAAATACACTTAGTAATAATTTAATTCATTATTAGGAACTGTCTCCCTATGATTTGGGTGGGACAGAGAAAGGCAACAACAAAGCACAAGAACAACAATCGCTTTAGTTTTAGAAAATTATGCCAGAAGCATCCATTGGAAGATGAAAGAGTCCCCACACAACAACTTGCTGAACTAGAAACAGGTGAGTTGCATCTTTGGGGGGTTTGGGGTTTTTTTCCCCTTTGGGGAGGGGGGAGTGGTATGGGGGCAGGGGGGCGTTGGTTGGTTTTGTTGGGTTATTTTTAGACTAGCAGCTCTTCACTCTGGTTACAGTGTCTCAGTGTGAGCTCCTGGGTCACTACATGAGTTCTTTGTTGCTGAGAGGGTTGGGAAACTCTAGAAGCAGTATTGAGTATTAGCCCCTTCTTTTTAATGCAGTCAGGAGTAAAACCTCATACCTCATTAGTGCTCCTTCATGCACCTTTCTACTCCACAAAAGGCAGTTTTCTCTTCCCTTCCTCCTGCATTAGCCAGTTTCACACCAGAAAACACCAGTCCTCCCTTCCCTTCCAGTAAATGGTAATGTCATGCATAGCTGCTAAAAATCAAAGCTGCAGCTTTGCCTGGGCACAACTGGGTATTCAACACCATGGTATCATGTAGGCACCATAAAGAGGTCTCTACAAAACACAGACAAAATAAAAAACTGCTTCCTTCCCCAAAACAAACTTTGCTATCCACATTAGAAAGAATTTCGAGAGAAAAATGAAAGAAAAACAAACTTCTTGCAATTAGAGCAGCAAGAGCTGTGATGCTGCCTGTTAATACACGAAAGCCCACTATGGAAGGAGAATTCACATTAATAAAGTCTCCAAATGAATAGTATGTATCCACAGTGATTTTAATAGTTCAGCTTCTGAATCTTACACTGTTGTATCTGACATAAAAAGACTGTAATTGATTTATTAGCTAGAAATATAAATTATACTTGGATTTTCTTTTTTTTTCCTTAAGAATAAAAAAGTACTGCGTGTTCAATCTTCCAAAGTTAGAATCACAAGGGGAAAGACGATAATAGCGTGAAAGCTGTCGAGAGTAGACAAACAGATCATGTACATGCAACATGAAATGGCAAGTCATTAAAAAAAGTCAGACTCCTTCAAAACTGTTCAAATGATTGTCGCCACCAATTAGACTAACACACCATTTGTCTTCAGAGGCCATGGAAGCTGGCAAGTCTTCCTCCATAATTTCATTCAGATTTCCCATTTTCATACGCAGAGCTTCCCAGAAACCTTTAACGGTCAGAAGATTTGGGTTTTTCCACATACACCATTTTAGTCTATTTATTCTTTGACTTCTCCTTTCTGGTGAACTGCAAGCACTTGTTACTCCTCAGTTTGCTGGAGAGAACAATCCCTCCCCTTTTCTCATGTCATGTAAACGGTTCAGGCACAACAACCAGATTTTGTCCTTTTTGCTGGCTTGTAGTCCGTAATGTCTACAGTTTGCGGTGGCCCCTCCGCTTTCTGCCGTGCAATTATCGGGACGACCATCTCAAACACGGTTTCAAAGAGGTAGTCCACCTTGTATCCCGTTTTAGCACTGGTCTCAAAGCACATTTTCTCCGCGGCCGGAACATCCTTCTCGTCTAGCATTTTGTATTTCAGTATCTTTTTATAGAGCGCAATCGCATCCTCTGCACGGACTTGTTTTCGCACCTTCGAGCTGCAGCTGGCAACAGACTTCTCGGGTCTATTTTCATCCGGCGGTAAAGCACAGTCATCGGTGAGGTCAACTTTATTTCCAACAATAGCGAAAATGCAGTCAGCGCTCGCACTGTCCGTCAGCGCCAAGAATCTTTCTTCCAGCTCAGTCAGGCTTTGGAGGCTGTTCACATCATACGTGAGGATCACAGCAGCTGCTCCTCTGCAGTACATAGACCCGAGGCCATGAAACTGCTCCCGTCCTGGCAAAGGTTGAAACACAACAACAAGTTAGTGTGCTGGAAGCTACGTTATTAACTGAGCAAAAGAGTTTCAGGAATTTTAAGCCAACTTCACAAGTTTGGATGGAACAGTGAAGGCAAAAAAAAAACCCCAACGCGTTATTTGCAGCATTTTCAGCTTTTTCCTTCTGCGTTTCTCGAAGAGTGTAACAGTTCCACAGAACAGCTCAGCTCACTGCTTGCTCAATTTCAGAGCAGGGAATCTATGAAGATGAGTGAGCAAGCGTGTGGGACACCGCATTCACAGTTGCAGAAAGAAAAAAAAGTTTGGGTTTTTATTAAATTGCATACTAATTTATGTCACATTAACAACTACCCCGCTTGCCTCCACAGATGGCCCATTCCACCTATTTAACCGTTTAGAAACAAAAAATAAGTTCCATCGCTCCAAATTCTGCTAGATTTTATTACTCCTATAAATTCAGTGCACACTTTCAAGTATGTCCAGCTCAGAAATCTGGATCAAAGTCAGTAATCCACCACTTCCTAGGTTTTGAAGGATTTCGTAAGCAACTTAGTCCTACACTACTTGTTGACGGTTCTCAGGTACACTGGGTTTGCAGGAAAAGCCTTGTTGTCTTTAATGCTGCCATATACAGCCTGTATTGATACGCATCTCTCCCACTATAAGTACTTACATTTTTTTTAGAGTATTAAACACATAATATAGAGAACCCTAACTACATTTTAAGAATAATTTATCATGTAAGTTGCCCTGATCATCACTCAATAACCAACAGTTAATAACAAAACATTTCTTCCTTCTCATCATTCAGCAAGTATCTGCCAGCTCTTCCAGCTAAGCCTTGATGGTCTCCTTCAAATTCATTTCTTGGAAGACAAAATTGCCTCTTCTTTAAATTCTGCGAAGCAAACAATGTTCTTCAGCAGTTGCAAAGGGAGTAAGGGAAACGAGGCAGAAGACAGACAAACAGTGTCTCCCTTTCCTGCAACTTTCCCCAAATACACTGCTGTAGCACATTCACTTTATTCCCCAAAACTCGATTGAGAAAAAGATAAAACCCACTAGATTGCAAGCAGCCATCAGAGTCAGACTTAGGTCACTCCAGAACAGAAGTGTGAATAAACAAAAGGAAAAAAAAAAAAAAAGATTAAAAAAGAGCCAACTATGCTGTTCTGAACATTTAAGAATCACTGTAATATTTCAACTCTTTTCATGCAGTCTCTTTGCACAGACCCTCCATTTATAGAAAATCTGGAAGCGATCTGGTTACATTCATTCTCTGCACAAAGCTACTGACCACTGCGAGTTACAGCATCATGAAATCCTTGTAAATGACTGTGGAATCAGAAAGGCAGAAGAAATTCATGCTGAAAAATACAGATCAGCGTATATCGGGAAAACACATCTCCACATGAACGTGCATGCTGTGAAAGTAATTTAGAGCCTATCTCCAATCAGGAATAGAATTTAAAACAGATCTCTGAGTGACTGTAGTAAGTCCTTTGACAAACTTCTGGTGGCCAGAAGAGAGACAAAGTGTTTGTTGTTACCAGTGAAACAAAACTGGAAAACTTCAAGCTAGAACATGAAATCCAAAGCTCACCACGCCTTTTACACTGAGTGAAATTCTGGTAACTGCCAGAGAAATAGACTTGAAGAGGTGCAGAGAACACTATAAAGAGGTATAAAAGGAAGCTGGTGAGGATGCTCAGAAGCATGCAGAACTTTTGCATGAGAAAAAACTGTGGGATTTCTCAGGCTGGTGAACAATTGAAAAAAGGGTATAAACAGATGTTTATAAATTCAGGCCTAATGCTAAGAAAGTAACCCAAGAACAACTATTCACTCTTTTCTCATAACACAGAAAGTGAGGATTTCATATCAAAAAAATCATGCGTGCGGTTTAAATACTTTCCTGCACAGCAAAAAATTGGCAACAAGTGCTATAAGACATTGCAGAGGTCAAAAGCCCAATGAATGGAGTTCCGAAAAGCATTAGCCGAAGTTTAGGGAGAACTGCTTCTGTGCAATTTTGTATAACCTCCAATTTGAATTCCCCCAGCAAAAGGAATTCTTTAACCAGTGATCTGGTAGGTAGGAAGGGGGGGGGGGGGGGGGGGAAGGATAGGCCTTTGTTTAGGTATGTTGGGTAAGGGCAAGGCAGGTTAGGATATAGGGGAGGGAGGAGGTCAGTGCTTTTACACTTTTTCCTCCAGTCTCACGTCCAAACTTGTGCTTTCAGTTGCACTGCAACCAAGTCATTAAAAGCCTCCAGTTTTTCAGCAAAAGTTTGTGCCGTGACCTACTTTGTTTTCATCCAAACCCTGATTATACTGTGGTCTGGAAACCACAATGGAACATATATCCTCCCCCGTTCTCCCACTTCAGATGCCTAAGCCATAAAATCCAGCCCCCAGAATCACTTGCTACAGCAACTGAGTACTAGAACAATACTATTACTTGTTTCACGGAATATGTATGCTAAACTAATCTTGCATGGCATAATATAAACCATGACACTTTTACACTCTAACTACAAACTGGCTACTTCTACAACTAGTACGTTGTTGAAAAGGGGAAAAAAACAGTAAGAAGAATTTTCCCTGCATAAGGGATTAATTATGTCAGAGGAATTACAGATAGTCTCTCTCGCTCACCCACACAGCCCAATCTACATGCAGGAAAAATGCATAATTTATTTTTGCAGCGTAGTTCCCTCTTACAGACCGCTTCTGGCACTTAAGGGCTGGAACAACCCTAGACGTGGAAAAAAAACCCCAAACTACACAAAGTATTTAAACTAATATCTTATCTGGCCCCAAGGTGTCAGGCAAAATAGTATCAGACATCACGGTGAAAAATCTTACTGCGTGAGAACAGCCACCCCCTCCTTATGGCCAGTTATTTCTTTCTCTGGACCCATCTGGTTCCACTCCAACCACGTACCTTTTTACACAATTAGCTAATTTAAACTGTAAACCCCAAATCCAAGAATTAAACAATTTCACCCTTTCAAAAAATAAAGGTAACAGGGAAGAATGCCAGAACTATCAAATAATTTGTAATCAAAGAAATTGCAAGAAAAAACGAATCAACTACAAAGGCACAACATCAGGGAAATTTCTTAACACCAAGTGACCAAAATTAATTTCTATTTTTCATTTCATCTTTATATTTTGCCTTATTTAAAGCAGCTGGACAACCCTACGGCCATGTTGCTACCTGCAACACCATTAGCTTTTCAGAGGCTCTTCCAGAAAGTATGTGAAACCCTGTTCGAGACACACCTGGGAACAGTGCAGCCAACAAAGACTTTCATAGTCCTATGATGTCTGTCATAAACAAATTTAAGAATTTTGAGCCAAATTGACCTCGGTACCACAAAGTTCATAAGAAACCCAAGGGAGAAAAAAGGGAAAAGTAGACCTTGCAAGAGGCCAGCCTGATAAATAAGCAAGGCAAGGTTTAAAGTATGCTGAGACTTGAACTTAAGGCCTAGGCTTTGGTCTAGCCAGCCTCCTACAGCACCCCGACCTCCCAGCTGGAAGGCAGCAGCCCACATGAACGCTTTCTCCGGATGGGCCCGCAGCCTGACCGAGCACCCCCTTCCCTTCCCAGCTGTGGGATCCAGACAGCAGCAGTGCTGGCCGCTGCTTCAGTCTCCTTCTTGGAGCTCTCCTCCTGCCTGCCGTCCCTGAGGGTAGTACCCAAAGTAGCCTGTAAAGCTGCTGTTGATGTTTATGAAAGCAAAACATTTCCTCCAGCCAGATTTGAATGTTCCTTACCTACTACCTCTTTAAAGGCTCTCACCACAACTTCTTAAGCAGCATAACTTCCCACACACACACACTCTTATCCACTGGAAGAACAAGTTTTAAATCTCTCAGTGTTGAGCACGTCCAAGAATGCAAAAGAGGCTGTTACTTTAAATCTTGAGGGAATAAAACACCACAAATACTAAAGAGCTAAAGAGGTCTTCCAGAAAGTACTTTAAAAAGTACTGTTGTTACTCTGATATCAGAGCCTGTGCAGGGTCCTAAATTCTGAGTTCCTAAAGCAAATACGTAGCATGGAAAAGCACACGAAGGTGAGCAATAGAAGCACACTAACATTGCACTACAAACAAACAAGGGTGCAAAATTTTCCAGAAACTTTATAGTCCATAAACCACATATCTTCCAAGGACTTTCACTATTTAACTTAATAATAATTTCACTCATTTAAGCAGGACAGTAATCTGAATATTAGAGAGGAATTAACACAAACACAAAGTATCAGTTAGGTTTTGCGGGACAAATTCTCTTTCTGCTTTATAAGAAAAAGTCTGAACTTGAGCGTACATGAAGAGGAACAGGAACTGTGCCCTAAGGAAATAGCCAAAACAGGAAAGAAAAGAGAAAGTACAACACGCATAACAGCCCAGAAATCAATATTAGAGAGAAATGAAAACTGAGGATTCAGCTGCAGTGGATGACGGTTCAAAGGATGACCCTGATGCTCTTGAGTTACCTCAGTGGGAACAGCCGCGTGATCACAAAAGCAGACAAAGAAGCTCCTTTTTAAGGAACAACATTTCCTTCTGTTTGCAGACAAAGCAGCAAAGCTGTGACCCTTTAAAGGACATCAGGGGAAACAGTTTTGCTAGGAACTGAGACTTCTGTTTGTGCACGTATGCCGAGATACATACTGACTATCAAAGAACAAACAATAAAGGTCCCTGAAGGTTTCAGGAAAATTCCCCTGCCCACATGTGAGTCAGGCTGTAAAGTTTTGACACCGATGAAGTCAGAGTTCTTCATTACCTTGTTCAAGACTGATATTTATTCTAGGTGGCTTTATCACATTTCCCTTGAAGTAAGGAGCTTTATTAAGAACTTGACTATGCCTGTGGTGACTTGGGCATAAAAATAAAGGTCTCCATCTCAAAGGATTAACATGGGGGACGTAAATAGGAAAAAGTGGAAACAAATGAGTCAGAAAGCACCAAAGAGCT